ATTTTTGCCAAACAGACAGATGGGGAGGATAGGGGGAGAAAAGTAGTGGAGGCTTTCTTCTTGTTCAGGGCTTTTTTTTTCAATCTTTACAGTTTCAATTTTTGTCCCTTAGCAAGTGAATTAAGATTTTAGACACCTGTATCCGGTTTACCTTTAAAGGAAAAAATGAAGCGGCAGAGTGAGAAAGCGGGTGTTTAAAGTGACCGCAGCTAGCAGTCCTCTCTCTATACCTCTAAAATACACTTGAATTGCAAATTTAGTGTAGAATAAAACTTACTGATTTTGGTAGAAACCCTCCAATAATCAAGACAACATAATAATCTAAAATGAATATATATACAACGTAAGGATTGCTGCTTCCTTGCATTACATTACAATTAATGTTATAAGACATAATCTATTGAACTCTGAATGTTTTTGTCTTTTCCAATAATTTCTCCACGCCTGGGAGCTCAAATAAATTAAGGGTACTGTATTCCAGAATGTGCAGAAACCTCACTGTTCTTACCTAGTTGGATGTCTCCACAAGAAGTGGCAGATGTATCCACCACTCCAGACATATCTAAATTGAGCATAATGGGAGGTTTTATTCTTCTTGTAACTGTCATCTGCAAACCCTCTGTTGTGTGGATTGTTGCTCCAGTGGTCATCCCAACCTGCAAATCATTTTATTGATTTTTCAGAAAGCATCTCAGGCTCCATTTTTCCTATCACAATTTCTATTGATGCTCTAGTAAGAGATACAAGTAGATAAACTAGAGATACGATCTGTTAAAAAGAAACAGTTACATTTTCTCCAAGTCAAGTTTTTACATGGATGCCATACATAACATAAAGGTTGTCCTTGATAGCTAGTTATATCAAGGAAAAGATAAAATGTCAAGCATACGTGTAGAAATGAATGATGCCAAAAAGACAAGGAAAGCAGGATAAATGATTGGTTTGGCTCTAATGAATTCCATTTTATGCTTGCATAATATTCCCTCTGCTCCAAATTAATTGTCATTTTTTCATTTTCAAAATAAACAAAAATCTTTTTTTTTTTTCTAATTTAACCGCATCACTATTTATTTATTTTAATTATTTATCCTATCACAAAAGTCTTTCTTTTATTTCTTTATTAAGAATAATATAGATAAGCACATAAATTATCTTAGATCCTTTACTTGGAGAAAACATAAAATAAATAAATAAATAAATAAACAGTTATTTTGAGATACATGGAGTAAATGGTTAATTGTCTAATCTAAGACTAAGGATCTATTTGGTTGGGGGAACTTTCCTCCTGAACTTTTTTTCTTACAAGATTATTTACGTATTTTCACACCTTAATACAACAAAAAAAAAGTAAAAGTGATATTTTTAGCCCTTATTTTTTCAATTCCCAATCAGTAAACTTTTCTTCCAAAGAAAGTTTTCTAACAATTTTCTCAATGTAGGACGCACTTAACAACTTTTCTACCAACTTTCCACATGTCAATTTCTTACCCAACACAAAAATATTAATTGTCACAACAAAATTCCAACAAACTTTTATTATATAACTTTAAAACTTAACATGGTTTTAAAGGTAATTTAAATAAGTTACATATTTTGAGCTTTTTAAAATTATTAATAAAAATATTCAAATAAATTTTATGGTTGGTTTTTTATTGTTGGACTTGATATAATGCTATTGTTTAAGCTTATGGCACCACAATATTTCTAAAAAGTACAGAAAAATTTATGGTTGAATGATTGGTTACTGAAACAATTTGAAATTACAGAAAAAAAAGAAAAACTCTCAAATTCACGCTTAAATGCTCACTCACTCCAGTACTCAAGCTCATGCTAAAGCTCCTAAGTAAATTTGCACTAGCTTAAATACTTTGCGGGTTTGAGCATGAGCTCAACTATTTTGAGCCTGATAAATACTCAAGCTTGAGCTTTTAAGGTGAGCTAGAGCATGTGTACCTAGGTACCTGACTCGTTAATAGCCCTACAAATATCCCATATAGGTTGAAGTGGCTGCGCTTAACCCCAAATCACAAAACAAATGTGCATTGTGGTTCAAGAAAAGTTTGTTTCACTCCAGGCAGCAGCTGATTCAGTTAGATTTGAGAGTGAAAATTGAAAAGTGCTCTCTAATAACAAAAAGAAAATAAAGAGAGCATTTTTTACTTTTTATCCTCAATATTTAATGGTACTTTTTATCCTCAATATTTAATGGCGTTAATTGCGTAGTGTAAAACAGAAATTTGTCAAACCACGAGGGATGAAATTCAGCCTTTTTGTAATTTGAGGAATAGAGCATTCACACCAAACCACATGGGTCGTGTACAATTTGCCCTTTTATAAACCTCGTGTGTTACAAGGAGACGATGTGATTATAACATTCCGATCTAGTGGAAAAAGTTCCCTAAAGCACTCATGAGGCTAGCTTTCATTTAGCCAGATTACATGAATTATGTGTACCAATCATGGTAAGGGAAGATATGTACAAAAAAGTATGGGACTTACCGGAGGTGCTCCAAGTGGTATTTGAAAATTAAACCGCCTAACTAGCATTGCGGTTGCTACTACAATCTGTAAATAGGAAAAATCAAACTTCAGCTTCAACAATATAATAACTAGAGCCTGGAGGCTGTACTGAGAAAGGACAGATCTGTCATGTCAGCCTGTGTCTACCAACACCCAAAAAAAAAAGAAAAAGAAAGTACCAACATATCTATTTTCCTTTTTTTTTTCTATTCTTTTTACTTTTGTATAATTTACCTCGAAGTAGATGTTGTGGGTATGGCGGGAGTAATTATACTTCCTACTAGGATTTCGGTGTTTAATATACTTAACAACTCCTAAAAACTAAAATGGTTTTTTTTTTTTTTTTAAATAGCACTTAAGGCACGTGATAAGAAAATATTTATCGTTTAATTAGTATACTTTTTGACAATTAATTGCATTGAAAATTTAAAAATTAAAATAATTTTATAAAAGTACCAATAACAATTTGACAAACGACATAATTTAAAATCAATGCTGACTTTTGTATTTTCAAGACAATAATTTTATAAAAGTACCCATAACAATTTAACAAACGATATAGTTTAAAATCAATGCTGACTTTTGTATTTTCAAGACAATGTAAAAAAAAAACAATAATTAAACAATAAATATTCTCTTAACAATGTGCCCACATTATAGAAAACTGAAACTAAAATTACCTCAAATGAAGCAAACATGTCTCCAACACATTTCCTAGGTCCCCCACCAAAAGGCAAGTAACTGAAGAAACAACTATTAGTATCAGTGACAATGAAAATATAGGCCAATTAATACAATCAATTAATCAATAATGATAACAATAACAATAATAACAATAACAATAACAAAAAAAACAAAAACAAAAACAACAATGACAATGATGACAATGATGATTATGACAAAAGATATGTATCATCAATATGGTACTAGAGGAGTAAAAATGATGATAAAAACTTGAAATTAATTACTGCAACAATTTAAACATTATGGTGGTGTTGGCTACTGTTGCTTGGAATGTGTTCTCCATGAGAACTTCACCATCATTTTATTCAAAGAATCATTGAATTCCTATGATATTCAGCACCACTGGTCTTCCTTTTACTTTGAAAAGGTGAATTCTAGAATCAATAATCTGCACCTTCCCTACCATATCAGTCTTTCATTTTCCTCTCCATAAGATTAACCAAAAAACAAAAACTAAATTGTTCTCAATAAATAATACCCAGCTGGACAAAACAATCAGATGGGCCAAACTGAAACTAACCATTTAAATGCTTGAAAACACCTAGTCCAGAGTCCAGACAAAGTCAAACATACAGAAAGAGCCCACAGGGTAACAGCAAACAAGTTAATGTGCAAGAAGCCTTAACTACATGTATGTATAGCCAATAACTCTTATGACGTGGTGGTCAGCAGCCATTTGTAATGTAGCAGTGACCTGGTTCAAATCCTAGCGTTTAATTCCCATTTCCCCACACCTCCTCAAAGCTTGTTGTTATAACCTTGTCTTTAATTGCATGAGAATAAGGTTTTCAGTGCTTAATTGAAACTTTCAAGAACCTAGTGGTCCTAGTGGCAGAATCTTCAGAACCTTGCGTGGAAAAGTTTATGAAAGTTCCATTACACATAGCAATTGACATTTGCATCTCAATTAAACATGTCTAAGGTCTTCTTTAAGCTAAGCGGAGTGCATTAAAACATTGCCAAGCCTTGTCTTTTGCATGGATTGTTAATCTTATAACTTTGGTCATTCTCTTATTTGCTCTCACTTGCATCCAAGCAAAAGAAGAACAGCAAGGGAAAAGCTGTTCAGCTAAGTTATAGACTTGAAATATCATTAGGAATTCCAGAGTTCAAGCAGTGTGTTTTGTGTGGTTAAGTGTAAGTTATAACTCTATTATCTAAAATTGAATAAAGATGGTAATTTGCTTGATTTAAAAAAAAAAAAATTCAAATTTAAGTTTAAGCAGTTACTGACATTGTAATGGCATGCAGTCCAAGCTGATATATAAACAGCAAGTACATGAAGGAATTGAAGCATGCTAAGCTTATGCATGTAAGATCTTCTGTAATGCTATGCGATAATAATGGTTAGCTATTTGAATTGGATTCCAGCAGTGAGCTGTTATGACATGCAAGGAAGAAAACATTAATTTGATGCTAGAAATGCAACTGCATTCAAGTTAGTTAAGTTTTGTCAAGTCTATTATGTTAATAGATGTGTTATATGTCCTGTATCTAAAGCTACACCATGCAAAGCATGCTATCTGATTTTATATCATGGAATTTCTATAAGCCTATTGATTAGATGTTTTTGAATCTAAGCCTATGAAGGTAGGTGTTTCTGAACAACTGCACAGTTAGGATATGCTATAACTGGTTCTAGCATTGTGTTGAGTGCACACACAACAACTGAACTCCATGGCCTCTTTATACCAGTACATAAATCTTATATGCCACTCAAGGAGTTATGTTCTGCCAACAGTTTTATGACCTGTTTCAAATGAAAATTGTGTCCATCTGCACTATGTCTTAATACCACATTATGGCCTATTTGTATATGAAGAGTTTATGCTATGCCTACCATGCAAGCTATAGTTGTTATAACTGGTCTCTAAGCCCTATCATGATATAATATCTGTTCAAGTGCCTTTGCATGACTAACTCTTTTGTTTTTTTTTTGGCCATATGACTAACTCTTGTTTAAATCCTAGAATTTTAGCAAGACCCTCTGGTTTAAGCTTGTGGTGACTTCATATATATGCTCAAGTAATTTGACTAATGATTTAGCCATTTAGTTATATAGCCTAGTCTATAACCTATACCTCCTAAGCTTCTGGATCACTCTTTTTATATTTCCAATCATTTCATGTCAGACTTAAGCTGTAGAACTTAGCTAAACTATTCTGGAAACTAGAAGTCTCCCAGGATCCAGGTTGTAAGCAATTAAGCCTCGCTTGTTAAGGAAAACTTGTGCCTCCCAAAACTGTATTGGCTCAAAGGTTTATTTTGAATAACTTTTCAACCTTATTGTCATTTATATCAGTAATATCCATCTATGATATTAAAAATAAACACAGTAGATGCAACAAGCAAGAAAAAAATACCAGAAATTTTGGTTTGTCTCATTTGGATTGGGTCCATCTAGTGGCCATCTTTCAGGATTGAACTTTTCAGGACCATCCCAGAGGTGTGGACTGCGATGGAGATTCCACACAGAGATAAAAATATCTTCACCCCTATAAAAACATCCAGAGTTTAAGACTACAATCACCAAGGACAACATATGATATAATGGAGAAAGCAAAGTCATGATAAAACATCATGTCCATGATGAAAGCTATTCACATAAACATAAAATGGATAGCCAGTAAAGGATGGGTTTCATTAAATTGAAAGAAAATTGATCAATCATGTTGAATCTGAAGATAGCTGGGTTATGAGATGTAAAAATTCAGAGTCAGCTAGGGAGAAAATTGTTTGGATGATTATTCCATGCAAAATAATATTTGAGGCTGAACTAATCAAAGGCAGAAAACATTAACAAACCCTTGGACTTTAGCAAGTTTAGCAATAAATTTCAACTTGTCTCTTTTTTCTTAAAGAGAGGAAGAGTGAGGAGAAATGGCAAGAAGATATTGGAACATAGATTTGGAAGAGACTTTTACTTTTTATTGAGGCAATAACACCCTTGTTTGAAAAAAGCAAGCCTTGGCAGCACTTAGGACTCGCTTGCTGCCTTACCTTGCTCCACTGCATTTCTTCTATTTTTTGGATTTTTTATTCTATTTTGGAAATTTTTGCAGAAAAATAAAAACACATAGAGCACTTAGTGGTGCTTGGATGGTGTCTAAGCACAGCTTGGGCCCTAGGCCATGGCAATTGCTTGGCCACCGCCTAGTACTTCTACACCACTACCCTTGTACTTTCTTTAATTTAGAGAGCTAATGCCCAACATCAAATGCCAGCAAGATTCAGTTAGTTTCAAGTTGCTAAAGTTGTTCCAGAAGTTTCTACTTGTTTTCAAAGAAACCCTTGAACCAAAATTTCAGTTAAGTTCTTAAAAAGGAACAACTTTTATTCAACTTTTTTGTTATCATTAAACCTTAGGAATCTAATTATTTTCCAAGTAACATAATTACATCTGAATCCCATTTGTTTGACTTGTGTGTCAATGAGAAGTAATAAAGTCAAGCTTGTTTCCATCTTGAGTTCATTTAATTAAATGGGCTCAGTTGGAGGTTCCATGTATTAGAGTCAAGCTGGTTTCCATCTTGAGGTTCCATGTTTTGACTAGAAGAACACAAGCTTGTTCATTAACTAACTTAAAAAGCTTAATTTTGAGCTCAGCTTGCTTAGGGAAAAAGCTTCTACAAGGCACCAACTTTGCACCATTATCATTCCATTCTCTCTAATTTGCTAGTTCTCTAGCTTTCCTTTCCAATATCCAACACTTCCAAGAAAAATATTCTCCTACTTGGTAAGTTTTACATGTGTTTTTCCAAGTTTGACCTCCTCTTGTTTCTTTGGTGAGTTTCTATCACACTTCCATAGTTCTCTCCATGAGTATTCATTCCAATAGCCTAGTAAGACTTTATGTAGAAAATTCATTTAATAAAGTGATAAACTTTTTTCATAATCCTTTGTGTTTATTGATCTACCTAGGCCATTTTGGTAGCAGAACCAAGTTATTGTTATTGTTGTATATATTTTACAACAATTTAAAGCTTCAGGGTCAGCATGCAATTACAAAAATTTCTGAAAAGTAAATCCAATCAAGAACATCTTAGAGGCAATAGAGTAACAGTATCAGATTGCTATAGTCCTTTCCAAACAGGAGATAGAATAGAGATTGAATCAAGCTAAGGGATATTAGCTCTTATGGTCTTGTCACAGTTTTCTTGCTAGTGAAATGGGCTCATGAATTGAAGTGGTAAGAAAATAAAACATAAAAGGCCAATCAATGCATCAGTTGTTCCACCTGTGGTTAACTCACTATTGATATTGTTGTCTGCCAAGCATCCATCTCTAGGCCTAACAGATGCACCAGCACACACTAACTACAACACCTGAAAAGCCCCTTAAATGTCTGTTTGGAATTAATCAATTTTATCATCCCGTTTATTAAACTCGAACTCAAACCCTGAATCCAAGGTTTCTCTGCCACCATCTCCATCATCTTTTTGAGCAATTTACTCATATTAATTTAAATTACAGGGTTCAACAGCTAGGTTGCTATAGCAGTAAATAATCTGTATGGTCCCTTCAGCATTCAACCCTCACCCAAATCTAAATAAATATCCAGTGTCACCACTTTAGCAACTCCAGTCTCAACATTTTGATTTTGAGGATTACTCTCCCTTCAACCCTCAACCTTCATTTGGGACTTGTAATCATGTTCAAATCTATTTATCACAACTTACCCATGACCAACTTTTCTCCAGCAAGTATATTAACTAGGAAAACTAAAGAAAAAGCTTTAGAGATAATGAACAAAAATGATGTATGCTAAATTGAGACACAAGATGGTACTAACAAGAATACAATGGCAAATAACCTTTTTATAGGGTATTTTCCAAGCACATCTTTCTCAAGAGAACGCCGAATTAATACCGGTGGCTGGGGGTAGAGCCTCAAGGACTGCAAAAAGGTTTGACAGAACAAACACAGAACTAAATCTAACTGCATAAATGCCAAAATTTGTTCAGAGGAAACATACAACAAAAGAAAATTGTGTTTCTTACTTCATTGATTACTCGAGTTGTATATTTGAGTTTCTTCATGTCTTCTATTGTTGGAAATCGATCCCCTAGAACAGAATCAACCTAAGAATAACAATGTGATCAGAAAAGTAAAAATTGAACAATCATACCATGAAAATGGTTAATGGAATTCAAAACTCAGTCCAGTTTCTTTTCAACTAGAACTGACAAACAAAAACTTTTAGATACCTCATTCTGGAGCTTGGATAGGACACTTGGTTCCTGCAGCCATCCGGAAGAAAAAGTAAATGGAACTCCTAATAAGTAGCCATTTAACCAGGACATCCATTTTAAGCCCAAAGGAACAGTAATTCTTACTAAAAATAAATAAATGATCCAAAAATAAAAAACTTGAGTCCTCCCTCCTTCCTATCTCTCTCATCAATCACTTTTTCTTCCTATCTCTTTCTTATTTGGTCCCTTTTTCCTCTCTCTCTCATCATTTACTTTTTCCTCCTATCTCTTATTTGGCCCCCTCACAAGTCACAAGTTATACTAAAGGTGCATTACCTTCCTTGCCCCTATTTTTGGTCTCCTAGGGGACTTCAACATCAAAAGGTTGTGGAGTCCCTTTTTGTCTTTCAACAACCCA